TAATTAAAATATACAAATAACTAATAAGCTAGATGACTGGCTTATATTTGTTTTCTCTTTCTGCACATATGAATGTATGCTCCTGAATATTTATTGAGAATGTAGAAATGAATAAAACAGATCAAGTTACTGCCTTCAAAGAACTTACATTTTAATTCAACCAATGAATTTTGTTGTTGTTGTTTTGGGGTTTTTTTTGCCAGTCCTGGGGATTGAACTTACGCCTTGTACTTACAAGGCAAGTACTCTACACTTGAGCCATGTCCCAGTTCTTTTGCTTCCAGTTTGTTTTTCAGTTTTGCCTAGCTGGATTCTCTTACCTTCACTTCCACAGGAGCTGAGATTACAGGTATGTACCACCATGCCCAGCCCCTATAACCAATGTTTTGATACCTGAAGAGTCAGGTGATAGTTTGAAACCTTCCTAATTACAAGCTCTCTACCTTTGTACAATTCATTTAATCCCTCTGAACTAGTTTTCCCCTCTGCAAAAATCAGGCTAATAATACCTAATTTAATAGTGTTATTGGTAGGATTAAACTAGTTACTGTAGAATCATTTTGAAAACTATAAAATGGCTTACCAATGCTAGGTCATATTTTTACCAGGTGTCCTTCTTGAGGACAGGGGCATCCTCAGCACAAGCATAGGTCCTTGGCAAGTAGCAAGCCTCAGTTCAGGTTTGTTGAATAAATATGCATAAAGTCCTATGAGTGTGAGGTACACTTTTGGTTTAAAACATTACACCTAGGACTAGTGATGTCATTCAGTGACATAGCACTTACCTGGCATGCATGCAGCCCTCGGTTTGATCACCAGCACTGCAAACACAATAAACAAACTAATAAATATAAGTTTTCCTTTATTTCAAATTCTTAAAATCTACTGCAAAAATAGAAAGTGCTTTTGGTACTGCAGAGCATAGCATAAGCAATTCTATACTCAGGTTACAAGTTTCCCAGAGTTCAAGCTCTAAAAATACATTTTCTAAACACTTATTAGATGGAAGGCTCTTTTATTGATTTGTGTCACAATGTGAATGCTTCTAAAAGACCTTTCCATAAATTGGTCCTGTAAGTGGCTCTGCTAGTCCTTCCAGGTCTGAGCATCACCATGCTCTCTAGGATTACCAATTACAACTGAATTGTAAAACTATCCTAAGTTTGGGAAGCACTTGGAAGACATTCTTAGCCAGTAACAACATGAAAAGAAATAAGTTTGTATTAGCAAAGTTGCTTCCAGGATCTAACTCTCTTTGAGGATTAGTGATGTCACTATTAGAATACAATTAGACAAGGGCAAAAATGCTTCTTGGACTTAAGGAAAGCGTACATACAACTCATCCAGTGGCTATTTGAGGAACAACTCATTTCATAAGGTACAAGACTGACACTGAGGGGATTACTAACATCATTAAAACACAGTGACGTGCAAAGCATAATATTTATCAGCAAGAATAAAATAGACTACGTAAAATATACCCCAAGGCAGAATATTAGTGTCACAGGTAAGGGGAAAATTCTCCACATAGATGCCTGTCCTTAAAGGATAAGACTTCAAGGAATTCAACAGATTCAGGGTCTGGGAGAGGGAATGGGAGACATGTGTGATAGGCAAAGAAACAATTTAATGAGTTGGTAGGGAATTATAGCAAGTGGTTCAACTTACATTTGGGGTATATTGAAAAGTAAGGCTGGAAAAGGGCTGGAAATACATATCTGGGCAAAAGTGTCAGATTGGTTGGGAACTACTAATAGGGTGGGATCTTGATTTGGTCATTAGGAAGACGGTTCTGGCAAAAACACAGATATATTAAAGGGAAAGCAACTAAGCAGGAGACCAAATAAGACAGTATAGCAAAAGTCTAGACTATAGGTAATCAACACCTGCCGAGGGTACTGGCAGTGGAACCAGATAGGAAAAGTTATTGGGTAGGAAGAATCTATACTATGCTGAGCAAAATGGCCCCTGGCCATTTGCACCTGTTTAAGTCTAAACTGAACTAAAATTAAATAAGATTTAAAATTCTGTCCCTCAATTGCTTTAGTTATATTTCAAGTGCTCAACAGCCACAAGTAGACCATGCAGATAGAGAACAATCCCATCATGGAAGAATATTCTATTGGACAATGATCAACTACACTTTGAAGACTAACTGGGCAGAGGGGTGAGGAAGAAGGATTAAAAGACACTGAAGTTTGGTGGCAGCTTGGTGACTGAGAATGGTGGTGCTGTGAGCAGCCAAAGGGAAGTCAGGAGGTGTAAGAGGAGCTTGACTTAGGAAAGATATCATTTAGTTTCTGTCAAATACCTGGTGAGATAAATTTGCCTCCACAAATGATCATGTGTCCACAGTGTAAGGAAAGCAAAATGGCCAGTGCGGCTGCCAAAGCTTGCAAAGGAGCCCTGGTAGGATCTCACTGGCTTATTCCTTCCTCAGTTTTTCCTCCGTCTGTGTAGCTCCTTGAAGTTTTTATGAGTGGGGATCTCACTCCTTAGCCTCTTCCAGGCCAATGGCTCATATACACCATCAGGAAGAGGGCCCATAGGTTGTGCTGTTTCCTTAGCTCCTCTATGCCAGCCTGAATCTTTTTGTCACAGACACTTCACACTTCCTCTCCTGACTGCCCCACTTCCCCATGCTTATCCTTGGAAAGTCCCTGTGCCCTCACTTATTTGATCGCTTCTTCTGAAACTATTCCTTCCCACAGGGGCCATCTCTTCTTACTTGCCTTTTTTTTTTTTCCTCCCAGCTTAGATTCCAAGGTCTTGCTCTATAATCACTCCCTTGCATAATACCCCTCCCCCAGCTCATTGCCTTTCATTACCAAAACCCAGCCCTGGTCAAATCCAGTTCTGCTCCAAGCCCCAAGCAATGGAGTGTGGCTGGAGGAGACTCATGCAACCTCGCTGAGTGATCTCACTTTAAACCTATGACCCACCCACAACGGGGAATAAAGGAAATCACACAGACCAGGTCTTACCTCATCAGTCCTTGTGGGGCAGCTGGCACGTACAGCACTTAATACAAACTGGGAAAAGGTGCCCACATTTTGTGTGTGTGTGTGTGTGTGTGCTGTGTGCAGGACTGCTAAAAGGTACCACTCCACAGATAGCTCCTTCCCCCAGCCTAAAGTGGTCCCATCAGACACACAGCCTGATAGGCAAAACAAGTACTGGATTTCTGCCCACTCTGCTCTACAGTGATCTGAGCATGCCATCTGCATGCACCCATATACTGTATCTTCTCTCTAAAAGTAATCCATGAATGCATTGTCCTTGTTTGTATTCAAGGCCAATCCCTTCACTACCGTGCTAGGTCCCATTGCTTCTTGCTTACTCACAGACAATCTTTCTCTAGTTGTCTCTTCTTGTCTTCTGCATGGTCAATTTTACCTTTCTAAAGCTCATTCCAGCATACCAACATGAAGAAACATCTTCATATTAAAATACCCTCCCTTAATCCCAGTACTCCTCTGGCTACTGGCCCATTTCACAGTTGTTATTCACAATAGTGCTCCTCAAGAGCTTTCTCTTCCTCTCATTCTCTCAACCTCCCCTAATCAGACTTTTCTTCCCTATGGTTCCACTGAAAAGGTTTTTATTAAAGTCGTTAGCAACTTCCATCAGGACAAATTCATTGTTTAAGTTCTCAGTCCTTGGCTGAGGATCCCACAACAGTGGCTCAGTGATAGAATGCTTGCCTAGCATATGCAAAGTCCTGGGTTTGATCCCAAGCACTGAAAAAAAAATGTCAATTCTCATCTTAGTTATTTCAGCAGTGCCTGATCACTCCCTCCTTCCTAAAGCAACTACTGATATTCTATCTCTTCTATTTCTTTTACCTGACCTATAGCTCCTTTCTTCCTTAATCGCCAAACTACTACCCCTTCCCAAACTTAAAAGTTTCTATGTCAGCTCGCAGAGTGGCTCAAGTGGTAGAGAGCCAGCCTCAGCAATTGAGAAGTCCTGAGTGCAAACCCCAGTACCACCACCAAAAAAAGAGAAGTTTCTATGGTCTCCTGAATCCCAATTTTTATCTATAGATTCATACATCCAATTGTTTACTCAAAATCTCACTTGGACGTAAACAGGCACCTTAAACATAACAAGGTGTTGTGTATACAACAGAACTCTTGATTTCCCCCACCCCAAATCTTCTTCTCCATCTCATTAAATGGTTCCACTTCTAACTCAATCATTAGGCCCTGAACCTAAGAATCATCAAATGATCATTTTGTTCACTCACACACTGTCTCCCAAGTTCAAATCCATCTCAGTTAAAATGTATCCAACTAAAATTAAAATATTAAAATAGTCCTTTTCTCACCTTGTACTCTGCTGCCATCCATGTCCAAGCTAACCTTAACAGCCTCCTTACTAGTCTCCCTGTGGGCAGTTTGTGCTTCCTTATTGTGCATTTTACACACACACAGAGCAAAGACTAACTTTTAAAAAATGCGAATCAGATATAGACAACCATGGAGTCACCCTCCTCCTAGGGCTTCCTGTTGCTCTTATCATGGCCCCATAAGCTCCACAGGATCTCGCTACTCCTTTTTCTCTGGCTGGCTGACTTCACACACTTGCCTTTTTCTGTTCCTGCAATATGACAGATGCACCCCACCTCCGGGTTTATGGCTGACTTTCTTTCATCCTGGAAAAGCAGTTCCTCTACCCCACCCGCTAGGTTCATTCCTTCATATCACGTGCGAATGTTCACAAAGGTCTCCTTTGAGAGGAAATATGGGGCCAGTCACTCCATGCCCCACTTTGTTTTTCTCCCACCACTTATCACTATCTACAATTCCTGTCACTTGTTTATTACTGCTCTCCCCTCTCTCACTCCATTAGAACACAAGCTCCACGAGGGCCTTTGGTCATCTATGGCTTCATTTCCTGCGCACAGCACCTATTAGGTGCTCAATTAGGGATGGTTGCGTTCCCTCCAAATTCTATTCCTTTTGAACGTTTGGCACTTCCTCGTTTCATTTCTGATTTCACCCTCGGCCCCCATCCTGCACTCTGCTTCTGTCTAGCACGGTAACTCCCGCCAGTCTCCTTCCCTTCCCGCGCGGCTCCTTTAAGCCGACTCCGGAACGCCGCGAACAAGGCGGGGCCGAAACTCCGCCGACGCGAACTCGGAGGGGCGGGGGCTGATCTGGGGGCGGGGCCTGCGTGCTGCGTGCGTGCGCGTTCTCGAGGCGCCGCAGCCGCTCCCGAGGCCGCCGCTGCTGCCGTCGCCGCGCAGAGCCGGAGCCGGAGCCACGGCCGAGAGGAGGGAGGAGGAGGAGGAGGAGGAGGTGGAGGAGGCGCCGGACCCCGGGGTGAGTGAGGGGCGGGGAGCCCCAGCCCGCCCCAGAGGGAGCGAGGGGCGCGGGTCGGCCGAGCCGGGGTTGAGGCGGGTCGTGTCGCCGGTCAGTCCTCTGGCTCCCCCTTCCTCCTCCGCTTGTGTCCGGGGCGGCGGCCCGGGGGCCTGGCCGGCGGGAGGGGCGGGAGCTCGGGAGGCCCGGCAGCCGCCGTGGCCAGGGCCAAAGCCAACCACGCCCGCGGGCCGAGCGGGTCTGCTGTGGCCGGGCCTGCGGGAGACGGTCGGGAGGGGCCGGGCCGGGTGTGGGAGAGAAAGAGGACATTGTGTCCCCCACCTTCCAACTCTCCGAGGTGTCAAGGCACAAGCCCATTTTCTCGCCGTGTCCTCGGACGCAGTGCCCTCGCCCCTCGCTCCCTGAGATGTAGAAGACAGGACATCGTTGCCTTTCTCCTCGTGCTGTCCCCAGACTAGGGTCAGAGCTTCCTGCAAATCCAGCTTGCCCTTTGCAGGGCACGCGAGGAGAGGGGCTTGGAGTATTGGGTGAATTTGCTGTCTTCTGTCCCCTACGAGAGACGTGCGGGTGGCCTGGAGTGCTGCCCGGTCCGTGTGCACTCTTGTTAGGGTTCAGGGTCCCCCTTTCCTTCCTCCCTCCCCCCCGCCCCGCGTGGAGAAGGCTGACATCTCTACATCCCACTCCGCGGCCCAGCCCCTTTCCCGCCCTCTTTCCCCCACGTCTTCTGTAGCATGCCATGTGTTCGCCTTTTCGGTGTGGCTTTTTCTTGGGTCTGTGCTTCTTCCCTAAATGTTGTTAGTAAGAGGTCACGGTGTAGTTCTTGTTTTCCTTTAAACTAGGGTTTGTGAGGAGTGTCGGGTTGGTGGGATTGTGGCTTGTCCCTCGTGCGGGAAGTTAAAGACGGTGTCTTAAGCAGAATTGTGCAATTTACTGCTGTAGGGAGAAGAGGGAGACAGTTGTGTCTAACAAAACGAGATCTCTCGTAGGATTGAAAATCAGCGTTTAGGGGACCTTTGACTTCTTGGAAAGAGAACGGGCATTGAGGAGCAGTGGATTTTTTTTTTTTTTTTTTTTTTTGGCGGTACTGGGGGATTGAACTCAAATGTGTTTCTTTTTGGGAGGGGAAGTGGTTTTGTCATTGCTTTGAAGGTAGAAATATATAAGGAATGGAATAACAGCAGGTTGATGGGCCACAGCTTTACAGGTAGCCACTGTTTGCTACTTGGGTGGCAAATGATTCTTTGTGTTTTTATCACAGTAAGAATGAAGTGTCAGCTCTTAGATTTAACTTGGGGAGCATACCCTCAAAAGCATGCAAAAGGGCATCTTACAAGAGGTGGCTGGAAACTTTCTTTGGGTTTCCTGTCAGAATGTGTGGGGGTGGCCATGGCTGTATGTATTTTTTCTTTTTCTTTTGATATGATTGATTTTTGCAGTGCTTTGACATAATAAGCACTAGAGTAGGTCTCAGACTCCTGTCTTTTGCTGTGTTTTCCTGTAGTACTTTCTGGTTTGAAATTGCATTTATTTTGTTTGATATTTTTTAGTATGGTGTTTCCGTGAATTTTGTCTTGTTTTCTTGCCATTTCAAATAATGTCCTACTTCACATATGATTTGGTGTTAAGTATTTAAGATTGTACGTGTTCACTATTATTTTATTTTATTTTAATTTTTGGCAGTCCTGGGGTTTGAACTCAGGGCCTGGTGCTTGCTAGGCAGGCACTTTACCACTTGAGCCACGCTTCCCAGCCCACATGTTCACCATTTATTACATGAATTGAATGATTATAAAGAGGTGTTTAGTCTTTTTGAGAGATACCTTATAAAAATAATATATTTCATTTCTAGTATATAAAGTGATAATTTAACCTTTTGAGAATATGATGAAATATATGCACTCTCCCCCCAAAGAAAAGTAACAGGCATTTATGCACAAAATTTTACGTTCAGTTTCAGGGATCCTCTGAAGCCAACCATAGACACTGTCTAAAAGTGAACTGGAATTCCTGATATTACTGAGTTTCACATAAGAACTGTTCAAAAGCCTTTGTTCACATTTCATGTGACCTCAGATATGACAGTATTTATACTTACAGACTAACTTTTGGGTCTTTAAGAAGGACGTTTAAGAGTGATTGTGATTACGGTTTTATGAGGAAAAGTTCTCATTAATAACTTATCAATCAGTTTTAAACCAATACACCCATGGCTTCTAAGGAAATAATTTCATTCTGGTCATTTCACAGCTTAAAATCATAATCATGACTGGTTTTAGATTTTTTATTTTGTTCAAACTATATTTTGGCAATATGATCAACATTTGAAAATGTCTACAAATCAAAATGATTTGTTTTTCCTATTTTCTTTCAAGTTTGTTCAGAAGTGTAATTTTTCACGTCATCAGTATGCATATCAACGTTTAATATTAATTCAACAAGAAATTAATTAAATGTATACTATGTGACTAAAGCAAAGTCCTTGCTGTCATACAGCTTATATTCTAATCGGAAGGGACAAACCATAATCATAAATATAGGATATGTCATGTGGTAAGAGCTGTACAGAAAAGGAAAGTAGGGTGAGGGGCTAGACAAAAACATGGGCATGGGAAAATTTGAGCCTAGGGTAGAGATCTGAAGGAAGTGACGGATGTGTGTTTTCTTGGGGAAAAAAGTTACAGGTAGACAGGACTTTTAAGTGCAAAGACTCCTGAGTGTATATGGCCTTTTTGAGGGTAGCTAGGATACCAGTATGACTGGAGGCCTGTAAGCAGGAGGGAGGGTCAGAGGGCTTGAGTTTAGAGAAGTAACTGGGGCCATTTTAAGAATTTATAGGCCATAGCAAGAACTTTAGATTTTACTTTGTATGAGTTGGAAACTTTTGGGGTGGGGGGGCGGTTGAGTGAAAGAGAGACCTGCTCTAACTTGAGTTTGTGAACATCATTATGGCTACTGTGTGAAAATCAACAACAGTGAAGTCAGGGAGACCAGTTAGGAGGTAAATCTTTTTCTTTTCTCTTAGTGCTGGGAATTGAACCCAGGGCCTTGCTGCTTCTGAGTTTCATCCCACCGTTGCAGTCTTCATTTTTAACCTTTTGGGGTGATTGTAAAATGCTATTGGGCATGTAGGTAGTATCCTTTCCTCTCCCTTTAAAATAACAAGAAAATTGACCTTTGTGTAGGCAACATTTGTTTCCCCTTTTGAAATATTTCCTTGGGATTTATTTCAGGAGGGATCAAAGTATCTGAGGATACTTGTCTGATAGATATCTGAATTGGTTTCAAAGAATCAGTTATCCTGGTTTTGACAGTCACAGTTTTTGAGCATAAATTTCATGGCAATTTCATGTTCCTTGTGTGTTATTAGCACTTAAAATAGTTTTAGTCAAAAAATAAGCCTTTTTAGATTGTTAGGCTTACCTCTGTCTTCAGTATTTAACCACACAGTGCTGATTGCTTGGTCTCTGCACTCTGGGAGTTTTTGCATTTGGTTGTAATTTGTAATCTAATAATTAAATTGGTCCAGATCTTACCAGTGTTTTCTGTTACTTATGAACTTTGCTAGTGTGTCATAGATGATCTCTGTATAAAACAGGCATTCCAGATAAGCATCCAGTTTTTCATATTGGTAATTACTTTTTTTCTAAAAGGAATTTTTAAAGATCTGTGCAATTTGTTTTATGTGATGATTTTAGAATCTTACAGATTTGACAGCCTCATGTTTTATTCTTTGCAATAAATTATGCAAGGAGTACTTAGTTGAGGACTCTTTCACAGTTGAATTTTTAAGTTGTAGCTCTGTATAGTCATTTAAAAAATAGACTTTTGTTTTTATTATATAAGGTCAGTTTTGCATCTTTGAAATTTTTTTTATTTTAAATAGATACCAGTATGTTTTGACTGAAAATTATACCACTGTGAGGCTTTGTTCAGTATTTCTGGTTCTGAAATCTAGATGGCTCCAGTATGAGCTGGAGTTTTGACATTTGTAAAGTGAGTAAGTTGAACTGAGTAACCAGAAAACACCTAGCACTGTATATGACATGTGCTAGAGAACTCAGTGTTTGATGGCTAGGGTCAGGTGGTTCAAAAGGTAGAGCACCTGCCTAGCAAGTGTGAGGCCCTTTTCAAACCCCAGGTACCCCCCTACCATCCCCTGGGCAAAAAAAAAAAGATTGAACTTAAAATAGTGGGACTGGAGGTGTGGCTCAGCAGTGGAGTGCCAGCCTAGCAAACCCGAAGCTCTGAGTTCAAACCCCGGTACCATCAAAAAAAAAAAAAAAAAAGTTCACTGAACCTAAGATAACTTAACTCTTGGTTTTAAATATCTCTTATTTTAGATATTCAATAAAATTAACTTGTATAAAACATTTATTTCTTAATAATGTGATATGTTTAAAATTGTGACCATAAACTTCTCATGTTCTTTTTCAAATTAAACTACAATCAGCTGTAAAAAGTTATGGCATATTTCCAAGTATTTTCTGCTTATTCTGATGTCATGTAATTGCTGCATGATTTAATGCCAGATTCACATCTTGTGGAAGATATTAACATTAAACAAAAATATTTAAGCTTTCACATGTCACCAAGACGAAGCTTTTTTTTTTTTTTTTTTCCCACATGTGCATGAAATTTGGAGATCACAAGTGGTAGTTTTTTTCCTTTGGGAGGTACTGTTCTTTGAACTCAGGGCCTGGCACTTTGCTAGGCAGGCACTCTACTGCTTTTAAACATGCCCCCTCCCCCACAGCTCTTTTTTGCTTTAGTTATTTTTCAAATAGGATCTGGTGTTTTTGCCTCCTACTATAGTCCCCCTACTTCTTGAGTAACTGAAACTACCTATGTGTACCACCATGCCCCACTAAGTTGGTAAGATGGGTTCTTACTGACTTTTTGCCCAGGCTGGTCTCAAACCTCCATCCTCCAGATCAGCTGAGATTACAGATAAGAGCCACGGCACCCTGCAAAGCAGTTTTAGTGTGGTTTTTTTTTTTTTTAGTATTCTGTACACAAATATAGTCATATTTTGAATTTTTTGCAATAGTGGTTATGGATTTGCATTGAATGATTCATACTGTCTCAGTCCTCTTGGCATAATTTTGAGATGACTGGTTAAGAAGGCAGTTTGTTTCAAAGTTCGACGATCTAGATGGGTATGAACCTATGGGCTTAGCTTTGTTCATTGTCATGATGTTCTGATCAGCAAAGCAGTTGAACAGAGAACTGTGCCATGCTCTCATTTCTACTTAAAAATAGGCCTTTTAGAGTAGAAGTTACAAACATGCACACACACACACACACACACACACACCATGAAAAAAGGAAATTGTGTGTGATTATTAAGGTATAGTTGAAAAAAGAAAGTGGTGTGCTTTTATAAGAGATCTGAAAATCATCTTTTTAAATTGATTTTCAGAAGTACATGGAGAATTAACTATTTTATGAAACAAACTTCAATCATTAAACAAGTGAATGACTTTCTTAAAAACACCTATGATTGATTTATTTAGGCTATACAATTTATGGTAGATAAATCTGAAAAAAATTTCTCTATAAATCACTCTAGTTTTCCCAGTTCTGTATCTCTAGTTTATTTAATTCACATCGCTGGAGAGTGATTCAAAGTGTAAGACAGCAAAGTTAACCAAATTTAAACTAAAATATGCAATTTTGTGTTTGGTTTCAGAATATATTTAAATTAGGCCATATTTTATAAGAGTACTAAATGACTAATA